CAGTTGTACTTCCTGGTATACCAAGACTGAGATTACCTAAGAGTCATAGATAACACTACAGGCCAGTGCCCTGGAACCAGAAACTGGACCACGTGGGCAGCCACTTCTCATCATCCACAATAAAGCGAAGTGGTAAGATCTTGCAACAGATTCAAACACAAAAGCCAGCCAAATCCGGAAGACAGTTCTGCGAAGGAGTCATTTCCTAAGGGCTTGAAATACCAGCAATAAAGCCACTTGCCATAGGCAATTTACCAGCATCAAGCTAGAAGTTAAAATTTAAGAAAAACAGAAAATGAGGGCCCAGGGAGATGGCTCAGTAGAATAAGCGCTTCCCTGGCAAGCAAGGTTCAATCCCTGGTTCTGAAAAAAAAAAAGAAAGAAAGAAAAAGAAAAAAAAATCAAAGAAATAATTTCTCACATAACTACAGAGATGGTGACCATAATTAAAAACATGCTTAGTAACTCTAGGGAAGATACAGATTAAAAAACAAAAAACAGAGCAGCTTAGGAAAATGATGGAAACCAAGAACATCTACACCAAAAATGGAATCTATAACACAGATTCAAACAGGTATCTAATAAACAATAAATTCCACAGAAGACAGAAATGTGGTTAGTGATCACAAGAAACCAGTACAGCAGCTGCTATATAACACCAAGAAGAGTAGCGTGAAATTGGTCAGAGAGAGTGAAAAGCAGAATAGCACAAACAGCAGAAAATCCCAATCCCAGAGCTCACGACAGGAACCTTCCCCAGCAGGGAAAGAGTTTTAACATACACACAAGCAAAGAACATAAAGCTCCAGTCAACCATAATTTTAAAAACATCTACAGCAGGCCTGTAATAGTCAAGATTCCAGAAATTCAACACTGGAACAGAGTATTAAAAGCTATTAGAAAAAAGAAATCAATTACCTATAAAGGAAAGTCCACCAGAATCACAGCTGACTTCTCAACATAAATCATCAGGTCAAGCAGACACTGGAGTGAGGTAGTTCAAGCCCTACATGAATGATATTTTTTTTTTTTTTTTTTCCGGAACCAGGGATTGAACTCAGGCCCACTGAGCTATCTCCCCAGCCCCGATTTTTTTTTTTTTTTTTTTTTTTTTTGGCGGGGGAGGGCTGGCCAAGGCTGCCTTAAGGGCCGGTCTGGTAATGCAGGTGGAGGCAGGGATCGAACCACAGTATCCTGAGCCTGACTGCATTTGCATGAGCAGGCACTTAAACAACTGAGCTAACCAGCAGGCCCCCATCAAGCCCTAAAAGAAAACAACCTCCAACCTAGACTGATATACGCTGCAAAACTATGTTTAAAAACTGATGGTGAAATAAGATACTTCTACAAAAAAGAACACCCGAGGAATTCATGACCACCAAACCAGCACTCCAAATGTTTTGGAAAACTTTCTTAGAACTACAACTCCATGAATCCTACAGGATCAATGCACCAGGCAAGGCAAGCAAGGACATGGGGGCGGGGGAGAAAGGGAGACAACAGAAAACACGACAAGGATAAGTTAAGACGTATAGTTACAACCATCAAGGTAAAAGGTCTCAGTTTGTGGCAGACACAAACTGGCAGAATAGATCAAGAAGCAAGATCCAACAATATGCCTTACGCAAAACCCACATCTAACTCAAAAAGACATTCATAGACTGAGACTGGGTGAGGTGGCGCGTGCCTGTAACCCCAGCTCTTGGGGGGCTGTAAACAGGCAGATCACTACAAGTCCAATCTAGTACTGAGACCCTGAGCACCCTGGAGACCCTGCCCTAAAATACAAAAAAGCAATTCATACACTGGAAATCAAGGATGGAAAACAATATTCCTTGTGGCAGAAACTCAGAAAAAGCAGTAGTGGCTATTCTATTCACAGACGATGGGAACGTCCAGCTAAAACGGATCAAGAGATAAAGATCACTACATACTTAAGGGAAAACTCCACGAGGGTAATGATCATAAATAAATATCCACCAAATGCTGGTATACCCAGCAACATAAACCACGTATTTGTGGACAAGAAAAACCAAGAAAGCATTAACACAATTGTAATGGGAGACGTCAATAGAGCACAGTCACAAAGACAGATGAACCAGAGCAAATATCAGTAATGAAACCTTCGAATTGCACCAAGTATTTTAACAGCTGGACTTAGATGTCTAAGCGTTCCACCCATTGTATCAGAACACGCATTCTTCTCAGCCACACACAGACATTCTCCTAATAAACCACACAATAGTTCACGGGACAGGCTCGAGGAAATGCAAAGGAACTGACATACCCCACACATAACCAATGATAATGCAACGAAACTGGAAATCAGTGGCGAGAGAAACCACACATACGTGATAAACACACGGCAATTAAGTAGCATTCAGGGCCAGAGATGTAGCTCACTGGCACAGCACCTGCCTGGCAAGTGCAAGGCCTCGAGTTCAATTCCAGGCACACGCGCGCGCGTGCACACACACACACACACAAAGTAACACCCTCCTGAGCAACCAATGGGTCACAGATACAATTAAACAAAAAAATTAAAACATTTCTTGAATTAAATGATATTGCCAATACAACATTCTAGAACTTATGGGACACAATGAAAGCAGTTCTACAAGGGAAATTTATAATGGTGAATACCTGTACAGGAAAATAGAGTTTGAATAACGATGTTGAACCTCAAGCTTCTAGAACAACAAGAGTGGGCTGTGGAGATAGCTCAGTGGAATAAGTGCTTGCCTGGCAAGCACAGGGTCCTGAGTTCAATCCCCATTACTGCAAAAAAAATAAATAAATAAAAATTAAAAAA